TCAGTGAGACTACTAGTTGCACAAAATAAACCACAGACAATAACTAGTAACATGAGATGCAAATACTAAGGCTACCTAAAAATAATAAAAAAAAGGTAGCAATTAAAGAGGTAATTTAATTGGAGTAACATTCAAATAAATGTGGGCACGTCTCATCTAACATGCACTGTAAGTTACCATTTAAAATCCTAGCCTATTCTACCTTCTTCTCTAAAAAGAAGGAAAAGCAGATTCTTTTTTCTGATAGGGGAGTCCCGGGTCATTGCAGCTGCACAATAGTTAGATTGAAGTAAGAAAGCACTGCAGTCACTTTAGTTGCATACAGTATAAGATGGTGAATTCTTCACTATCAGCCTAATCTCAGGGCTATCTTACCATCTTCCCTCACAATAGGAAGGTGCACACTTTTGCTCGTCTGTAAATCTGCGCAAAGAGAAAAAGGATATTCCTCACACTCTGGGATATTATAACCCCTGGACAACTGCAACAGCTTGTAATGACTGCATGAGTCATTCTCAATGTTCTTCAGTCCTTGGTTCTTTTAACTGACCAATGGATGGATTAGCCTTATAAATGAAACTAGGAAGATACTCTGGGTATAAACAAACATCTTACAATTATGATGAGGGTCTTTTCTATAGATATATTAATTCAGAATCCTGTAGCTGCTTCTCTAATAGCTCTGTGCCTCACTCAAACTCTCAAAATAGATCTGAAATAGTACTTGAGTGAGGACTTTTGCCTTTTGTACAAGGCTGAATTTACTTCTTTGCTTACCACATAAAAGAATGACAGATAGCATGCTGGTATTAGATATATACTATTACCACAAACATTTTCTTATGCCTGACCTTCATGTGAAGATACGATCTGGGCATACTGTTGTCTCCATGAATATACTGGGTATTCGGGTATTCACAAATAGACACACACACAATTGGCTGTGTCTAACTACTTCCGATGTAGATGATAAACAAACTGTTGTTTATATTCTGGCAAACACCCAACTGTCGGAGGTGGGCTGGGAGACCCACAATAGCTTCTACAGCCTGTAATTGTAAAATGAACTTGCATTCATTATTGCATCTAAAAAATTATTATCTGGGGAGGGGAAATAGCTCCCTCCAAATCACCTGGCTGGATAGCATACAACAGAGGAAGAATTAAAGCTCAGAGAAGAGTTGGTCTTATCTCTGGTGGGCATTGGAGGCAAAGAAAAGAGCCTCTGCTGGCCACAGACTGTACAGCGTGCTTTTAAGTTGTAAACAATACATTTTTACAAAGCTAACTAGTGCATAAATGAAGGCTTTTAGAGGACTTCAGTATAGTGTTTGTTAATCTTTCTTTGCTAGTGTCTAGACAATCAACTCATATAAATACTTGTGAAATTAACTCTTATTAGCCAGGACGTCTACAGAAAGCAAGCATAACCCCTCCCTGCTGTTTGCATGCATTCACACCAGAATGGTAAACCCTTTAGAAGGAATGCACCTGACTGAACACAGTTTAGTCAAGGAGTTGGGCTGCTGGTTGCTATTAAAGAATACCTAAAGAGGAGAATTTCTCAAGTGCCTATAAAAATTAATTTGCAAAGATAAAAAACAAATGAGATTGCCACAAACAAAAAATAAGATCTATCAAAGAAATAGTTACAAATAATTCTTTCAGTGCTAATACTACTGGAATTTGGAGTTTCAGCACCATCCCCTGAAGGGTTTACCTTTTGACTCCCGTAACAGAGCTCTGAGGACCTTAGGCTGTGCATGCTTCTACGGGCTTTCACTGCCGACCCTGCCCTTGCCACCTGGCGTGAGGCACTTTGCAACAAAGCAATGTGCAGAGCAAAAAAAAATGAGCCAACAGTAGAGGTCAGCCATGAACTGTAGATTTCTTCTCCAGATTTCTTGCCTGAGCGATTTATGCTGTTTACTGTACATCCAGAAAGATCTGGGGCACCTGTGCCAAAACAGCAATGGATAACAAGGGCAGAAGGAACGAAATGCGTTTCCTTCCTAAAATGAGACAAGGCAAAATCCAGATACTAAAAACACTGCCATGAGAGGGTTGAAGTACAAATGGATAATAACACTTGGTTTCTCTGCGAACAACACAGAGCTTCCATAGCAACTTGCTATCTGCTAGCTGGTCCAAAAAGGTCAAAATCTCACAGAAAAAAAACCCCACCACAAAACAAAAAAGAGAAATAATAAACTCAACCTAGATGGACTGTTAAAAAAATACCTCAGAACTCTGACAGTGTATGCCCCCACATCACCTATGGCTTGGCTTTCAGAGAGTTACCATTGCCACCTGCTGGTTTCTACTACCCTTGGTAAAGTTGGTTTTGGCATGTTGGCTCATTTGAAAAGGGGAATGTTTTGGTCCTGCTGTGTGTAACAGCTGGAACACACGATGCACCAATGTGCTGGGCTACTCAAGTTGCCCCCAGTTCTGTCTGGTCCTGTACTCAACATTTGAAAATATTTAAACAGTGGCTTTATAAATTAGGTCAGTGCTTCAGCCAAAACAGATTATCTGGATTTTTAAAGCTGAGAATTAACATTGACTAGTAAACTGCTGTATGCTGGGTTATTTGAAAAACAAGCATTTTGTTACCTGTTGGAAAAGAGGACACTCTCCAATACCATTCTCCCATAAATGCAGCTGCCTAAGACATTTGTTTAATGCAGCAACTGGATTTAAAGGGCAGGGATTCACACTGAAAGACATAACCTATGCATGCTTCAAGTTGCAAATGGGAACCAACCAACAAAATGCATTGAATTTTCTAGGCCTGCTTTCTGACTGTCGTGCATTACATCTACACCAGGCAGGAGCTCAGGCATCATTCTACTCAGTCACGTGTTTGTCAAGCACTAAACACAACACCCCTCAGCCATGGTTGTTTTTCCCATGTCTGGATGAAACATCTAGCACCTGAGCCCCCAGCCCTGCATCTCTGCTGGGGGATTTAACAGCCATGTGTGCAACATCATTTTGCCCATCTCCCTCCTCCCCAAATGTGATGGAAGCCAAATTCCTGGCTAAGGCCAGCAGGGACTGGCCCTGCCCTGGATCCCCACGCTGGTTGCCTTACCCTCCCGCTGTCCGGCTT